ACTTAACTGTGAAGTCTTAGTGTGGTGGACAGGGAACATACCTGTGCACTCAGGACAAAGACCAGATGAGATAGAGGGAGTAGAAGGTAGGACAGAGGACTGATGAAGCCAAGGAGGTGCCAGGGCTGCAGAGCTCTCAGAAAGGGGGTTGGGGGGCTGCTACCTTTGCCAGCTAAGGAAGTCACAAGGCCTTTCAGATGGGGGGAGGCAGAGCTCATGAAGGAGGACAGAGGAATGGGTACATAAGGGTTTCATTTCAGTAGAAATTCCCTCACCCTCAGAGAAGATCATAGAATGGCTTCTATGATCTCAGCTCAGCTCAAGGGGTGGGGAATGCTTAGAAGCGCCACCCCGGGGAAAAGAAGAATTTGCTGACAGGGGTGCGAAGAAGGGTTTCCACGAGGCTGCAGATGACTTTGTAGTAGCGCCAATCTGCGTGGGCTGTGATTTTCTCCAGCAGAGCTCAGGAGCCTGGGAGCCCAGATGCCAGCGAGAAGGAAGAGCTGGCCTGATGGGCTGGGCACAGATAGGCAGGAGCAGGAGCAGGGAGGGAGGCTCCAGCAAAGGCAGGTGATGGAGGCTCATGAAGGTAAGCTAAATAGGGAAGGAAATGAAGAAGGGGGTGAGATGGGGGTTCTGATGCAATGACAAGAAAATGGCAAAGGGAAAGAGCCTGTAGGTTTGGAGGAGGCTGAAATCCCAGCGTACTGGGAGGTAGGAGTGGGCGGGCTGCAAGGTGGGAGGCTCTGATCAGAGTGGGCTGGAGAACAATTCAAGGCAATATGTAATCAAGTGCTAAATAGGATGGTATGAAATGTAAGTGGGCATGAGTGCTGGGGAGGAGGGGGGAGCTTGGGAAGAGGAGCTCAGTGAGGATTGGGAAGAAAGTCAGTGCAATTTGCTGTGTTAACATTTACAGCCTGCGTGGCACCCCCAGTAGGGAATTCAAGGTGACAGTGTAGCAAATGGCATCTTGAAGCTAGAAAACACTATGTGAATCAGACCTTCCAGAGGATCCAGTTCCTTTGGTCTCAGTAAAGACAGAATGCAGAAGGAGAGCATATCAAGAGTCTCCTAAGCGTGCCCGGAAATGCGGCTGTGCTCTCTATGGGGTGCCTGTAACTGGTGGTCTTCCTCACACCTTGCCGGCCTTTTTCACTCCCTACTTCTAGACCTTCTTTGATGCCACTTCCACAACCCCCTCCCCAGCTGTTCTCAAAACTTCAAGAAGCCAAACACACTTGGTAAAATTCTATAAGACAAGGTCATGAATCAATGTGGGGGTTTTTTGGTGGGGGAAAGGGAAACTGGGAGACATCTTCAAGGTGGCCCTTGGTGAAGATGAGGTTTACAGCATTTACCCTAGTCCACGTGAGCCCTGGGACCAGAAGAACAAGTTTTTGCTGGAAGTAGCACAGCTAGTGAGTCGCGGGGCAAAGGCTGGGTCAGCACTCTTTCCTCAACATGACTCAGAGGAAGTCAACCGATTTCCTTCCTGCCCACTTCCTGGTCAGTCAAAACCTGAGCCTCTGTGTCTCTCACCTCACAAGTTCTATGCTAGAATCATGTGTACGTATCTGTGGATTTTGTCTGTCCAATGCCCATTTCCCTTCTGTCTTTTGATCTCAGCACCCAAGTTAACTCTAGCGATGCATCTCTCACCCCCCCCCCCCACCATCCATTGAGGTGACTCAATTAGTGCTGACCACGTGGTCCAAGGTGAGTTTGATTCTTACTCCCTCACTGAAATTTGAATCCCGAGTCAAGGCGCTCTTTGTCCATGAATGGGGCCTGCTTAAAATATACTTCTGGTACTAAGATCCCAGACCCACCCTTTTAGAATCTGGTTCTGCAACTTTTCCTTCTAGTCCACACATCCTTCCAGAAAATTCTCCATTGTCACTTTGTATAAGTGGGATTTGACGCTTGCTACCCCCAAACTCTGGAGGGTCAATCAATACTTGCCATTAAATGAAAATGCAACTCACACCAGGTTAGGCCCTGGCAGGAAGTCACTTTCCATCTGTCTGCAGATCTTACAGGCACCACCTTCCAAACATGCCCAGAACTAGAGCAGTGCTTCTCACCACCCTGGCCCAACCACCACTGTCTTTGGCCCAGATCATTGCAGCAGCCTCCTCACTGGAGGGACCACACCTGCCCCTGAAGTCTGTTCACAGAGCAACCAGAGACAGGCATTCTGGAGGACGTGCTCTTCTACACACGTCCTTCCCACGACTCCCCCACTTTACTTAGAGTGAAGCCAGAGCTCTGTCGGTGACTTGGAGCCCCTAACATTCTCTGACTTCTCCTGCCTCTCCCTGTTTGACCCCTGTGCCCCAACCATGCCAGCATCCACTCTGGTCTTCAACACCCCAGGTACAACTCCAGTTTAGATCCTCTGCTTGTGTTGTCTCCCCCACTAGAAAAAAAACTCCAAGAGGCAGGGAGCCTTGTCTGTTGTATCCCCCGCACCTCGCTGAGTACATGGCAAAACCTAGGTGCTGAATTAGGATTTAATAAATAAATGAATGAATGAGCAATCAGTTATGAACTTGGAAGTCTGGTGCTTTATCTTCCTTTACTAACAGTGCCACCCCCAATCTGAATATCTTCTGACTACCTGCAGAACTTTGGGTAGTTGGTTTTAGTACTGTGAGGGTCTATGTTGTGTGTGTGTTTGGTGTTTTTTTTTTATAGCCATTAGTTCCTGAATCACTTTTTTTAAAACAGCCTTCATTTCTTAGAAAAGTTTTAAGTTTACAGCAAAGTTGGAAACTATAGACAGTGCAAATACTTCCTGTCCACCCCCTTTTACACAACCTTCCCCATTATCAACACCTCCACCCACCACAGAGAGACATTTGTTAGACTCAATGAATTTAAGTGAACACATTATCACCCAAAGTCCATACTTTACATTAGAGTTCACTCATGGTGTTGTACATTCTATGGGGTTGGACGAATGAGTATTCATTCATGTATTCATCATTCGAGTCTCCTACAGAGTAGTTTCCCTGCCTGAAAATCCTCTGTGCTCTACTTATTTCACTCTCTCTTCCCCCCTTGTCAACCATTGATCTTTCTACTATCTACCTCGTTTTGCCTCTTTTAGAATGTTATATATTTGGCATCATATAATACACAGACTTTTCAGACTGGCTTGTTTTACTTAGTAATATACATGGAAGTTTCCTCCATGTCTCTCCATAGTTTGATAACTCATTTCTTAGTGACAATGTTCCATTACCTAGATGTACCACAGTTTCTTTATTCTAACGGACATCTTGGTTACTTCCAAGTTTGGAAAATTATACACAAAGCTGCTATAAACACGTATGCAACTTTTTGCATGAACATGAGTTTTCAACTCACTTACCAAAGAACTTGATTGCTAGGTGGTATGGTAACAATATGTTTAATTTTGTAAGAAGCTGTCAAACTATCTTCCAAACTGGCTCTACCATTTTGCATTCCCACCAGCAAAGTAATAAGAATTCCTGTTGCTTCACATCTTCCTCAACATTTGATATTGTCTGTTTTCTGGATTTTGGCCATTTAAAAGATATGCACAGAATCACTTCTTATGCTTGTTTCCCAAGACAAAACCCAAGACTTTTGAGGTATATACAAAGAGTAATTTTCAAGTCAAAGAGAAGCAAACAAACCAAAATAAAAAGCATAAACACATAAGAATGTCTTTCTAAAGCAATGAAAGACAAAAACTGTGGTCTTTGTGGAGCCTGGTTTCCCTGGGAAGCAAGGCTGACAGGAGGGAGATGTTTATTGTTTTTTTGTTTTTTTTTTTAAGATCCTTGGTGAGGCATTACAGAAATTCCTAAGAACCTTTTCTCAGCATTTCGCTTTGCTTCAACATTGCCTTGCATTGGAGAATTCTACAAGCTTTCTATAATTGCCCTTGAAAATATTTGCTTCCTGGAAGAAGCACTTTAGGAGTTATAAAAAACAGACAACCAGGATATTTTTATAAGAAGCTCAGCTTCAATCTGTGGCCTGTGGCAAATACATGAGGACAGCTGCTAACCCACTGGCTGGTCTTGGAGTGTCTTAACTGGATAGTTCTGTCCGTTTTCAGAATCCTGTACCTTGTAGCAAGTAAGAGAAGCAAGAGGATCTTCCTTATAGCTCTGAAATAATGCAATAGCAGCAACTACCATTTCCAGAGCATCTACAGTGTAATTTACACTGTTCCAGGCACTTGGAAATTATTAAACCATTTAAACAATGAGTTCAGATGAAGTAATTTAAGACATATAAAGTGTTCAACACAGTACCCAGCACATAGTAAATAATCAGTTGAAAGTAGCTATTATTTTAAAATCTAATAATCCTCATGACAAGCCTATGAGATGGGTATTACTTCATTTTATAGATGAAGAAACAAAGTGAAGTGACTTCCCAAAGTGACTCAGAGAAGAGATGCAGGGCTAGGATTTCAATGCCAGATATCTGACTCCAAAAATGTACTCTCCCCATAACACCATTTGGATTTCAAATCACAAAAACCTCAGCTTAATCTGCTTACCAGTCAGTCTGGCCAGAAATTTGGGCACATGGGGAAATTTGTCTTAGTGCTTCATTTTTAACAAGTCATATTTACCATTCTGTGACTCTCTCACCCTCATCACTTCTAGAGCAATACAGATTCTTTCTCTTACCTGGTACATAATTTTATTTTTATTTTTTTAAATTTATTTATGCATATAAGAACTGGCGTCCAGGTCAGAGGTGTGGGGGGTGAGAGGATTCACCAGATACAGAGTGGGGAACAGAACAAGCAGGTTCGCTGAAATACACTACTGAGTGGAGCAGTGGGCGTGACAGGAAAGGTCTGCTATGTCCCATGGGTTATCTCCCTGTCCAGGGATTGAACTTGTGCTGCAGTGGGTGTGGATTGCTTCATGGTGCTGAGATTTAACCCCTTGCACCTCCCTCTGGTCATTTTATTGATGGGGAAGTGACTTGAGAAAAGATAAAAATCCCTAAAGTCCTGGACTGTCAAAATCAAACATCAGGATGAGCCTCTTTGAGTTATTTCTGTTTCCAGAAAAGATATGGGAAAGAGATGAACTTGGTCTTCTTCCTTCTGGGACAAGACCCTGGCCCCTTCTTTATCTCTGAAAAGGAAACATTGGCATTGAAAGTAATCTCAATTATGCTGATGCTAATCCATCCCTTCTTCCTTGCTTATATTTCCCCAACCCTCACATTCAGATGTTCTCTGTCCATTTGACATGGCCCACAGGAGAAGCAGGCTGTGTGCATTCCCAGAAAAGTGGGTGCGTGACATCCTGCCAAGAGCATTGTGGACCTTGGTTAGGACCTGGTGTTAACAGGATTGTCCCTGAATGAACCAAGTAACAATAAAATAAAGCTCTCTGTCCCCAAGCTTGACCATCTCCCAGACTAGAGCTGTTGACTCACAAAGGCAAGAGCCTAAGTGTGGTCTGTGACTGGAAAAACAACTCCCAGAGCCCTGTCCAATCTCAGGAATGGAGGGGTGTTTTGCTAGGATATGACCTCTCTCAAGTACTCCCCAGAATATGTGTTGACTACAGAGATTCTTCATTCCGTATGGAAAATGATTTTTGGTGAGAAAACCTCAGACTTGATTTGGATGTTCTATGCAGTACACCCCCCACCCCCTTTGACTGAATTCCAATGAAATCCTTCCAGAAGTTTACCTCCCTCTTACAGGAGAGTGTTTCCCAATAAACTTGAGTCACTTGAGTCTCTTCGTTCCAGACTGGTCTAAACAATATGAAGGAATCATTCCAAGGCTTCTCCCAGGTTTTGTTCATGATGACTAAGGAGAGAAGAGATCACCCATGGAGGTCTTTCTGCCTCTAAATTTTTAAAGGACGCATGGATTCCACAGTAATGGGAAAGAATAAATATTCTTAAGAAAGTCTTCTTTCCTTGTAGGAGAACACTGACCTGCATTTCTCTTGTTCAATTGTATCCATTAAAATTTTTTTCTGGATCTAACTGGGGTTCACAACTAGACTGGTATCAATGACCAGTGAGGTTTGAGAAGGTTCTTGTAGCCATACATTAAACAGCATCCCTGGTATCCTGTGTCAGGGCTTCTTGAGACAGCAGGCTAGAGCTCCCTGGCCCAAGAAGGACCCAGCTGCAGCTCCTGCCCTCCAGGACTCTAATGAGGACTGTAGGCAGCAGCAGGGCCCAGGTGCTGGGCACAGAGCCCAGACAAGGAAGGCTGGAGCAAGGCTGAATGCAGATCAGGGGCAAAGCAAGGGATTAGGTCAGACCTCAAAAATAACATTAGAAATCTATCAACCAGCAAGGAGGGCAGGTCAGGCAACAGATCAGTGCAGAGTGGCAGGTGGAGGAGCTATCCAGGAAGACAGTATATGAAAATCAGAAGGCAACTTGTCAATGGAAAGCAAAACAGCAAAAAAAAAAAAAGTAAAAGCAATTTTTTTGATGAAGGTATAAGTGCAATTTAATGGGAAAGGATGATTTTTTATCAACAAACAGTAAAGGAACAAGTATTTAACCATGAAAATGAACCTTAACCATCACTTCTCTCCATACACAAAAAAATTAAATTGAAATGACCTGTGAAAGCCCAAACTATAAAACTTTTCCCAGAAAATATAAGAGAAAATCTAACTGACCTTGGGTTTTCCAAATTCTTTAAAAGGAGTTTAATGATATAAATTGCAATAGTGTAAAAGTACTCAGTGAACTATATACACTTCAGGATAGTTAAAATTATAACTTTTACACTGTATTTGTTTTATCACATTAATAATAACAGAGAATACCTTCTCTTTAGACAATTGTGGGGGGAGGGGAATCCCACAAAGGAAAAACCCCAATAAATTGGACTTTATTAAAACCTAAAATTTTGTTCTTTAAAAGACATCATTACAATTATGAAAAAGTGATACATATTAAATTGTGCAAAAACTACATCTAGCATATATAAAGTACTCCTACATCTCAAGAAGACAAACCACCCAAGGTAGATAGAAGGCATGTAAGCACATTAGAAGAATCCTAACATACTTAGTCATCACGGAAATGCAAATTAAAAACACAGTAAAAAATCACTATATACTTACTAGAATGACTAATGTTAAGAAGACTATGCCAAATGCTGGCAAGGAAGGGGAGCAACTAGAACTCCTAACATCCTGCTGGTGGAGATGTAAAATGATACAACCACTTTGAAAAACAGTTTCACTGTTGCTCATAACAACAAATACCTATTACACAAACCAACTGTTACACAGTCAGGTATTTAACCTAGGGAAATGAAAGAAAGCATATGTTCACAAAAAAGTCTTGTACTTGAATGCTCATAATAGCTTTATCTGTATTCGCCGAACATTAGAAACAATTCGAATGTCCACCAAGAAGTGAATGGACTAACAAATTCAGTATATTTATACAATGGAATACTACTCAGCAATAAAAAGGAATGAACTAATATTGATATAAGCAACAACATAGAAAAACCTCAAAAAAAAAAGTAAAATAAGTCAGGCAAAAACAAAAGAAGTCATGTTGTTTACTTCTGTATATGAAATTCTAGAAAATAAAAATTGATCTATAGTAACACAATGCAGATAATTGATTGCCTCAAAACAGGATGGAGTGGGAGCAGTGAGGGGTGAATTATAGAGGCCACAGAAAAGCTTTTGGAGTGATGAACATTTTTGTTGTCTTGGTTATAACAATGGCTCCAGGACTATAAACATGCCAGAACTCATAAAATTGTGTTCTTTAAATATGTATAGTTAGTGGTATATCAATTATAATTCAATAAGCCTTTATAAAAGGAGAAGGAAACACCTACTTCCTGCCCTCAATAGGTAATACAGGGTCATGGCTACAATGTGGCTCTGGAGGCCTCACTAGATTTGGATTCATGCTCTACAATTGACTTCCTAGTTGTGTGAGCTTGGCCAAATCATGTGTTCTTTCTTGCTCTTTCCTCTGTGAAATGGTAATAACCATAGCGTCATGAAGACTGTATCATCTAGTATTTGTAAAGTACTTAGAAGCTAAGAAAGAGTGAATATTGATTATCATCACCATCAAGATCATCACTGATCATGCAAAGCAAAGCAAAGAGACCAAGTGGAGCTAAGTGTCCAGGAGGGTGGTTGGAGGGAGTAGGTGAGAAGGAGAGAGATCTAGGGTCCACTGCACCAAGGAATGTTTTTAGACAAATTTCTGACCACCTTGATTGAGCCCAGTCCCCACATTTAGCCAGACTAGAAGCTGCAGAAGAGAAAGTCAGGTGATGTAGCTGGATGAACATGAGTGGGCAGAGAATAAAGACACAATCCAACAAGGTGAGTGGGAACCTTTCCAGAAGTTCCTGATTTCTAGCCAATGCCTTATTGGTATCACTGTAGACACATTGCAAGATGGACTCTCCCCTGTCCCTATCAGCCTGGAAGTGGCTTCTTGACACATCAGAGGGACCACCCTTTAGTCTTCTAAAGCTTTCCAGTCAACTGCTCCTCATAGCTTAACCTCAGTGCACATTGGATCTGGGGATGTGCCACCTGACAGAATGAACACTGTGCAGGCTTTCTTTTTTTGTCAACCTCTCAGAGGTCACTTAGTCCCTGCCCCAGAAGAATAGGCCAGGGGTATTGCTACTGAGGGCGAGTTACCCATGGGAAGTTTAGCAAAATCTATGAAACATAAGGCTTGGGTGGAAATACTGAACGAGTTGGGATGGGGAGTGAGGAGGAAAGGTGACTGGTCAGAGAATAAAGGACATTTCTCCAGGGCCCATTACTGGACATTGCTGGGCACAAATAAGCATAAATCCCAAAGAAAATATGGATTGCTTTGCAGTCAGGGCTGTGGTTGGATCCAGGAGGACGGAAGCCTGTGTCTAGGTGATTTCCTTCTCTGGGAGAGGTTCTTCCAGGAGCGAGAAGGAATAATAGTGCTTTACGATTCAAGAGAACTTTGTGCACTCAGTGGTGTTGCATGGTACAAAGGTGTCACGTTCGGGCTGTGAAGCGCTCATGTCTCAGCATCCCGTCCCACTGCTGTGCTAGTTCGGCTCCATGTACCTTATCATGTCCTCCTAGATCCTGCTGCATGTCCAGAATGACCTCCGCAGATCACATCATCTGGGCTGTTCATGGTTTGGCCCACAGGAGACACAGGAGTGGGGGGACAGCAGGATAGAGAGAGGTCAGGGTGTTTCTTCCTTGTGCCCTCCTACTTTGGCATCTGGACCTGGCAGAGCCTGTGCCCCTCTGTGACTCGAAGTGCACCCTCATGAAGCCATGGGGTCTCTACCCCATCTCTGGTCTCACACTTTCCACTCCTTGATCCTCTAGGCTTGGGGATGGTCAGAGCACTATGCCTTGGCTCATCTTTGAGCGCCCCATTAGTCTTGATTGCTCCCCCAACCCTGCCCTCCCTCCTCTAAGGGAAACCTCTCCTTTTGAACTGTATTAGATAGACTCTGTTCCCTACCAGGAGCTGACTGATAGAGTCAGCCGTTAGCTGTGCCATACGTGGGGCAGCCATCTCTTGGGTCTGCCTGCTTCTCCGTGGATGGGGGTAGCAGACATGTGAGGGCCAGAAGAGGTGCCACTCCAGGGGGGACCCTCAGGACCGTGACTCGAGGATTCTGTAGGCCTCGTGGTCCCTTTTCCCTCCTCCCTAAGCCTCCTTGCCCTCAGATAAACCCTGCTCACTCACAATGAGAGAGGAGACAGGAAGAACCCTGATATGTCATCATGCAGGCCCAGGAAGGCAGGAGGGCATTCTGCCTACCTGGCACACCAACCTTCCCCTCACAAAGGTCAGTCTGCCCAGATAAGGAAGTACCTGCAACCAAAGAAAATAAATCCAAACCCAAAAATACAGGAACTGAGCATCTCAATTAACAGGGACCTGTATGTCCTTACAGAACTCTGTTTATGAGGTAATAAAGCATTTCAGTGACTCTGTTCTGGAACCCACAAAGTCCCCTTGAAAAGCTTATGAGGAGACACTGCTAAGGGCTCCGGGAGGACTGGAGGGTGAGTCTGGGCACCTTTGCCTTGAAGTTGCAGGTTTTCTCTGGGGAGGACTGAGGTTGCATGGGGCGCACCAGGCCCCAGAGGAGATGTCATGATATGGTTGCCTCTGGGAAAAACTTCATGGTTTAGAAAGGGCAGCCTGAATCACAAGAACTAAAGGCCAATTGTTCTTTGCAAAGTTTGGAGAAAAGCTGCATTAGTTTTTGCTTGGAAAGGGACGGTTATAGAGTGGTGGTCAGCAGCATGGCATGGAAGCCTGAGATAGAACATGGGCTCTGCCACTTATTTATTGTCTGACCTTGACAAAAGCATGACCCTCTCTGTGACTCTCTTTGGGTGCCTATAAGATGGGGAAAATAGTAATAATATGACTGAATTTTTGAAGATGAAATGAGATAATATGTGCATTGTTCTTAGCATGAAGCCTAACAACTAAGTGTTTAAAAAATTAGCTATTATCAAGAATGTCACCATTTTACCATCTCTTCCCATCTAGACCCTTCTTCCCAGCTCCATAGACAGCAGGCACTTCAGGGGTTTAACTAGTAATAACTTTACACCTCCTCATGGGATGGTGAGACCATAACATAAATTCCAGGCTCAGATCAACTCTTGAGATGGAGAAGAGTCCAGAGGTTTCTGGAGGCCAAGGGCAGAAGCTGGGGAGAACTAAGAAATAATTTGCCAAAGGAACTACCTGCAAATGACCTCAGCACAGTGTTGACAGCTAGTGGTCTTGTGGGGGCCGTGCCTTGGGGAAAATTTGACACAAGGACTGGCAAAGCTGGACATGATTGCATGCTCCACTATAGAAGGTAAACTAGTCAGCTGAGGGTCTCAGTTTCAAAAATCCACTGTAACATGTAATACAACTTGCTGATGTTTGAAAAATGATGTGCAGCAAGAGAAAGGATGGTGGCTAAGGAAGAGGCCAGCCGGTTGCCAAGGATACAGCACACTTTGGGGATTGCTCCAGGTCTGGGGCTATCCTGCATCAGACTCCCAAACTGGATGTGGTCAACAGGCCGTGGTTGGATTCTCTCTTAAGGAGACACTAACATCAACCAAAGTAATAAAACACTGACTACAGACCAGCATGCTAATTCTCACTTTCTAACATTTAATGAACACCTTCTATGTGTCAGGCAGTTTTGAATAAGCACATTGTCATAGAGTCCACTTGCTGCTTGGGGAGATAAAAGATAAACATCTATTGGGCCTCCCTGGTGGTGCAGGTGTTAAAGACAGTGCTATCAAGCAATAGGGAGCAACACACATGGCGCAGCAGACCTCTCCTGACTCACCAGCTGCTCTCCTCAGCAGTGTATTTTAGTAGTTCTGCTCCCACTCTCCCTGGTGAATCCTCTCACCACCCCCCACACCTCTGGACTGTACCCCAGTTCTTGTATGCATAAATAAATCTTTTTTTAAAAAAAGATAAACATCAAGAGACTCAGAAGACAGAACACAGACTGGGAGAAAATATTTACAAAAGATATATATCTGAGTAGGAATGTTATGAAAATATACAAAGAACTCTTAAAACTCAACAATAAGAAAAGGAACAACTCATAAATGGTCACCACTTCTGCATTGCTTTCTTGAGATGCTTGCAATTGGAAACCATTTGCCATGATACAGAGAAGCCCAGATCACATGTAAGTGTTTCGGTTGACAGCTTCATCTGGGGTCCCAGCTAACAGTCAGCATGAATGACCGCACTTGTGATGACATTAGCTCTAGCTCTAGCCACTGTCTGGTTGACATTGCATAAGAAACACTGGGCAAGAACCACTGAGCTGAGATAGATAATAATAAAAGGGCTGTTGTTGGTGTAAGCTACTGAATTTTGAGGTGATTTGTTACATAGCAACAGAAAACCAGGACACATGATAAGTTGATGGCCTGTGTCCCCTACTGAAGTGTAAGCTAAATAAAATAGACAGCTTCTTTCAATCACAGCCCTATCCCTAAGATCTAGAAATAACTACATGCTTGATAAGCATTTGTTAAATGAATGAACATGTCATTCCTCTTCAACTTACATACCATTGGATGAGGTCAACAAGGCAGGGGTTCTTATCCCTTTTAAAGATAAGGAAAACAATCCAGAGAAGTAACTTGCCTAAAGTCACAAGCTACTGTCAACATAAAGACTTGATCTCAAGTCTCCTGGCCCTCTAATTTGTGTTTTCTCCTGTACCATACTGATGTCAAGCAGATCAATGTATGTAACTGTGTAACTGTCCTAAACTGGGGTGGAACTCAGTGATAATGGGCATCCAGGTGAACCCAAGCCTGGCATCCTTCCTGAAATAGGCAGTATTTACATAAGTGTTGAAGCAAGGACAGAATATGACATGACTGGAGAGAGAATTCCAGGAGTAAAAGCTCTTTGAGTGACTTACAGTCTAAACTGAACTGCATGTGTGTGGAGTTGGAAATAGAATAGGTAAGAGAAGTTTGGGGTATATGACAATGACAAGGAAAAATCAGTGCTCTAGGTGTAAGGAAGGTCTCCTCAATTGAGCTTGATGTCTACCAAAACCCAAGTAGTCTACCTTCCAGACCAAAGCGATTGACTATTCAATGAAGGAAGTTGGTCTCTGGATGAGATCTCTGCTCCTGGTGCAGTTGTGATACTAATGAGGAAAAGGACATGGCTCCATTATCCTTGTGGACCAGAGGAGTGCTACATTTTTCCTTTAGTTCCTGTTCTTCTTGCCTTCCCTAATTTGACAGTCTCCATCCTTACCAAAAGAGGGGGAAATGACAAACAGAATTTCTCTTGAATCTTGGCAACAGAGCTCAGGCTTTTATTAGCATGCAGTAAAAATGGCATTGACCTTGGTAACAAATAAATTAAATCCTGGTTGGCTTGGACTTTTATATCTTGGCCTTTATAATTCTACTTACTAACTGATTTACTTCCTTAGCTCTATACCCCAATATCTCCAGCAGTTGACCTTCCAATAGCTGCCATTTATCTTACCTCAGGGATACAGATCACAGACAAACCTGAAATGGGTTGTACAGATAATCCATAAAGATAAATGTGTTTTAGACATTTACCCCCTGGAGGGGTAAGAGGCAGCTTGAGTGATAAAAACCTGTGGGGTGGACTAAAGATTTGGGAAGCCAGTCCTAATTGGGAGTGTGTATCAATCTTCTAAACTTCTTGGAAACTCATCTGTCAAAGTGGGAATAATGTCACATTAGCATGGAGGACTGACTGCTCCCTAAAAATAAAATTCCATACCAAAGTAATTACCTTCACTCGATTAGAACTGAGTGCTTTCCATGAACAGATTGAGATCTCCAATGGAATACATAATGTAGTTCCTATTCTCAGGATTTCCAGTCTACTAAGGGAAATAAGACATACATATATAAAACAGCCACCAGTAAAAAGGCTGGCAATAGTGGCAGAATGGATTGTAGAGGGAATCAATGCTGTGATCAGTAAAGACGGCTGCATGGGAGAGGTGGGACTTGATGTGGGCCTTGAAGGCAACATTGGGGTAGGTAGACAAGAGTCATGTATACCTCGTATTCAGCAAAATCTGCAGTATAGGGGCCTCCTTGGTGGCTCAAGGGGTTAAGATGTAGCACTATGAAGCTATCTGAAGCCACTGCAGCACAAATTTGATACCTAGTCAGGGAGGTGACTTACATGGCGCAGCAGACCTCTCCTGACTCGCCCGCTGCTCCCCTCAGCAGTATATTTCAGTCAATCCGCCTGTTCTTCTCCCCACTCTGTCTCTGGTGAATTCTCTCAACCCCACACCTCTGGCCTGTACCACAGTTCTTGTATGTATAAATAAATAAATCTTTAAAAAAAAATCTACAGTACACAGTTTATTAATATAGTACACAGTATCTGTAGTACAGTTTGTTATTAACTATCAGCATATTTAAAAGTCATAGTATATTCATAATCTGAAACTACTCTGTGAATAGGTTGTATTATTTGTTCAAAAATTGTTCAGAAACATTTGCTGCCAACCCTACATAGCCTTTGCCTGATTCTCTTCCCTAGGGGAGGAGTATACCTCCCAACCCATGCATATCAGAGTTCGCCATGTGACTTCATTTTCCAATATAAGTGATGTACCTCACACTCAAGCAATGTTGGAAGTCACTGAGTGATCCCTTGTTGCTTTTTCCCTCTGTCCCAAGGTAGACATGCCCCAGAGAGGTCCTGCTTTTCAGCCCAAGATTGAAGACTAAGATTGAAGAAGACATGGAAATCAGTTGAGAGTTGGACATGCAACATAAGAAATAATCCATTGTGAATAGAATGGTAGGTCATACAACATAATTTAGTCTAAACTGACAACAAAAGCTTCATGTAGAAAACCTCTCACTAGCAGCATAAGGAAAAACACACTCCTCCTTTGTGTCTCTTCTACTCTCCATACTCCATGGCCATATTACTTCACTTCTGACACCAAATGTTGTGTTTTCCATACAGCAAGCAATTCTGAAACACCTGCAAGAATTCTGACATTATCTACCCGGAGGTATAGTCAGATCCCACCACTTAAGGACTCAGTCTCACCAAATTGTCCCCCTCCCTTCAGATGCCAATAGAAAGTCCAGGTTGTCACTTATGCTTCTGACTGACCAGTTATAGGTCAGAAGTTCCAGCAACCCCCTCCCTAAAGTTGGATTAATTTGTTAGAGAGACTCATAGAACTCAAGAAAACGTTTATTTACTAGATTTCCAGTTTCCTTTAGAAGGTTATAACCCAGAACAGCCAGGTGGAAGAACTGCAGAGGGCAGGATGTGGAGGCTTTGCTAGAGAAGAATGATTGATGAATTCTGAACTCACTCCCCAGATCCTCTCCCTCCCTTTTCTCTAGCTAAAAGGAAATTCACCAGTAAATGCTTTGAATTGGGATTTGGGGGACCTGAGTCCCAAGCCCTGAACCTGCCCTTGATCAATAGAGTGAACTCAGACAAGTCATATTACCTCCCTGAATTTAGGTTTCCTGTCAGAGAAATGCGATTGGAGGGCCAGCTCCATCCACCAGCTTGCTATTTACTTACCATATTGCCAACCCCCGTTCAGACCTTACCCTTCCAATCTCTTTAAAAACACCTCATCTAATTGTTTTATTATAGATAGAAACTTCCCCAGAATTGTTCCGTCTCCTCATATGCTGTAGGAGTGGGAGTAATGACCCAAATGTCAATGACACCTCTAGCTGCTGGCTCTGGGCTGTGCAGAGCAGCTGGCAGTGGCGTTCTTAGGAAATGAACTGGAGGCTGCTACAGTTTGGCACTTTCCCCGAACAGCTGGTGTGGAGAGCAGGGCGGGTAGGAAAACCTCTGAGACTGGCCAACTGCAGCATATATTAAGGGCAACCCAGATGACTGGTAGCTAATCACCTATGCCCATGTAATCTGTAAGCTGTAGTTTCTCCTTCTGAAGGTCTCTCTCTAGTATATGTGGAAGGAAGCTTATCTCACACCACTCCATACCTGTCCACCTGAGCTAGGCTTCACACTGAGCCTCTATCTTCACGTGATCCCACCAGCCTCCTTTCCCATGGCCCTCCTGTGGCCCTTTGTATGGGTTTCAGGATCACCACGCTTCCCTGAAGAATCTTTAGATGAGGGATATCTGGACCTCCCTGGTGGCTCAAGAGTTAAAGTCTCACCAGCCACTGCGGCCTGAGTTCGATTCCAGGCCAGAGAGCTGACCCACATGGCACAGCAGACCTCTCCTGTCTTACCCGCTGCTCCCCTTAGCAGTGTATTTCAGTAGATTTGTCTGTTCTGCTCCCCACTTTGTCTCTGGTGAATCCTCTCACCCCCACACCTCTGGCCTACATCCCAGTTCTTGTATGCATAAATAAAAATTAAAAAAAAATAAATGCGGGAGATCTAAGGAAAGATCATACTCCTTTGCGCCCCTCTGTTTAAAGTATGGATATAGGCTCTTCTTGTGTTTTCCTAAGACTGTAGGATTAACAAAACTGCAGAAGAGAGTTATAATCACAGAAGAAAAACAACTAAGTTGCAGGTTGCCTACAAACGCTCCTGGAGTCACTGACCCATGACCTGGATACACTGTTTGCCTTCTGTCTCCACAGCCTTCAGGACTCCCATCTCCCTGCAGAGTGAACTTAACTTCTATGAACACGACGACAGCCCATGGCCAGACTCCCCTACCTGGAGTCCACACCCCAACTCCCTGTTTTCACCAAGAGAGAAAAAGAAAGCCTCTTCTTCACCAAGTGAATGTTGGAAGAATTTCTGCAGTAAGCTGTAGCTGTCTGCCCACCAGGAAGACAGTCTTCTATATTAGTATGCATAGCCATTTATTTCTTCCTGTCTCAACATGTCCATTCCAGAATCAGCTCTGAGCTCATTCCTCTGCATAACCAAAAAGCACAGTGTTTTTCCCAAAACAAAAAGCAGTCTTTACCCTAAGGTGGATTTCCTTCTTCCTCTTGGTAAACAGAAAAAAACCGAGGCTTTTGGATTACTGCATTCCCTGTTTCAAGCCTTCAAGATTGCAGGAGTATTAGGGTCTGCTGTGAGAGCACCCCCTCACATAAATAATAATCCGATATGAACAGCTAGTCACAGTTGAAGGCAGAAGGTTCTGGGCAGCCTTCAGAAGTAGGTTCTTCTAAGAGTTAAGGTTTTAAACCAAGCATACAATTAAAATGGTCTTTGTGTCTGTAGCACAAGGCTTCATCAGCCAGCAAGACCAAATTACCCCTGTGTTTATTTTTTTTAAGGCATTAACCTATGAATAAACAGCACTTGACATTGAAAATTGCCACATTAAGTACCCAGCTCCTCTGCCCAATTACAGCAGCCCACAGAGTTCTTCCAAATTGTCACCTAGGAAGAATATGACAGCAAACAATGCTTTAAAAGTAAGTAATCTGCTCTATAATTATTTTAGCGGCTGCAACTGCCAACCAGCAGGATCACTTATGAAAAAGGACGCAGTCGCTCCTTATTAAAAATGCATGAATATACAGTCTCTTGATTGTAGAAATAATCAGCAGACTATCTAATGTAAGAAGACGTAGACACAGAAGAATTAATTAGGGTGAAATTGATTAAGAAGAAGAGGGTAAAAATCTATCTGTGATGATTCAAGCTCCGATTAAACTCAAGCATTAATTCTCACATTCTTTTCAAATTTAAGACTCATCTAAATGTTCCACATTAATATTCCAACATACCTCACCCTTCCTTTTCCAAATAGAAATGCAGGCGTTTCTAATGATATCTAAAGACTATGTTCTTGTTGACTAGAAAACCCCCGTCTTAAGGATTTGGGAAGGTTAGAGTTTTCATTATTATTTTAAATAAAAGACAGCATGGCAGGAGACTGGGAGAGTCGAAATGCCCACATTCATTCTGGTCTGAAGCACTTAAAACGTCCATTAGATTTCTCAAAAACTAAAGGAAGGGTGCAACACAAACAATGACGTGACAGCCTCCTGAATTCTCTTTGTCTTATGGTAACCTGCTCTGGTAGAGATAAGGGGCCCTCGCTGGGGTCATACATTCCCTGCCTCACCCTGAGACAGAGCTGTATCCAACCACAGAACCACCTGCAATTATCTCCCATCTCCTGAGAGGCCTCCAGGCCCTGGGACTCCGCCACCTGCTCCCCTGATAAGGGTGAGGTAGCTGATATATTCCCAGCTTCTCGGGTGCCCTCCCTCCTCCCTTGCATCCATCTGAAGGATGTGAGAAGACACTTCCCTGCAACATTGATTTTTCTCTTCTCACTCTTCCTCCATTAGGAACCCTCTCTGTGGCTCCTGGCTCTCCCCCTGCAGACTGTTTCCCAGGGTCACTGACCTTTCCTTGCTCCACCAAAGGTTGCTCTCTTTGCAGTGCTTCTTCCATCTGCTGCCTTGTTTTTTTTTTGTCCCATGGCCGTTATGGCTGAGTGCATCCTTTGTCTGGGCTGGGACAGGCTACTGGGGCTGAGAAGCAAGCCAGAGGGCTCCAAGCTAGCCCTCTGCCCGGAATGCAACCACTCAACACCAACTAATCAAGGTTCTTGGGCAGGAGTGTTCAGGATTGCCAGCCTTATCAAAGAAATGTGGAGAGAGAGAAGCAAAGACACCGTTTCAAGTCCTTTTTCGCCTCGGTATGATCTTGTTTTCTCTTCACTGCCCTGCGAAGTAATCACAGTTCCAATTCTACTCAGGAGACATAGTTGGTCACAGAGTCTACCTCCTCCTTAGGGAGTGCAGCTAGCCCCCACACCCCAAGAGTTTGCCAGCAGAGCTAGGGGAGAGGGCATTCCAGGCTGAGGAAGCAGAATAAGGGGATCTGGGAACTGGGCCTACTAGGGAAGTCCATTTACATTTATGACAATATAAGCATTAGAGTTCCCCTCATAGCCCTGCTTGCTGGTGTGGAAGACTGGGCAGGTGTCGTGGGATCCAAAATAGGCCACCAAGGAGCTTAGGACTACTTTGACTAAGAGCTCAGGGAGAAGTCCAGACATTCCCCTCCTTAAGTTGAGTGCTCCCTCAGGGTGCAGTCAAGCTCTCCTATGGTCCGGTTCCATGCCCATACCTCCTGTCCTGGCATCACTGTAAGTCACTTTGAACAAAGAAGAATATGTTGAGACAAAAAGGCCCTGCCTCTTCTCTCAGGAAGCTCCTTTACCTCTATGTAAATTTGTGGATGCAAATTGCCATTTGGGGGCAGGCACCCCGGAGCAGCCCAGCCCCAAATGCAAATAATTATGGGGGAAGAGTGGTCAATCACTCTAACAACACCATCTTCAGAGTCTGGGATCTCAGGACCCATGAATGTCCTGTGCCCTACACAGAAGCTACCACAGTCACCGCCAAGCCTCTCCCCCTACTCTTTTCCCCCTCCCCTTTCTATTACTCTGTTCTTGTCCTTCCTCTCCCTCCATTCAGTTATCAGCAAATGGTTCTGAGTGCCTACCTGGAACTTGACCTTTGTCCTCGGTACTAAGGCAAGAGATAAAACTTCACAGGTTGGCAGGAGGATGTCATTGACTCAAATGGAGCAAGTGGAAAACCGCAGTAGATAGTATGTCATAAAGTATTCAACCAGGTGCTACCAATTCAATATTGAATCAGTGAAAGTGAGAAACCCTGAAACATGGACTGGAGTGCTTAGGGAAAATAGGTGGGACTAGAATTCAGTCTTGAAGCTGAGTAAGTGTCATCTGAATTGAGAGAAAAGGCCCCAGGGAATGGGGGTGCTGAGCAAGGGCCTAGCCCGGAGGACAGCTTAGCAAACCCTTCACTCTGGCTGGAGGAGAAAGCACTTGCTGGGGAGGACAGGAAGGCAAGCTTTGCCAGGCCCTGCATGCCCGCATTGGAGATTTGGATTTACTCTAGACTGGCTGCTGGTTCTCAAGCTTTGGTATGCTGCCCGGAGTGCTGGTGAAAATGAAGGTCCCCAGGCCCTTGCCTTGGTAGGTAGGGTACATTTCAAACAAGCACCCTAGGTGGTCACCCAGAGGTGTGTTTGCCAAAGGTCCTCTTCTGGCCACCTGTCCCTCCTCCGGGTAAAGCCAGGGCTTTGTTTGCACCATGGAAACCGCCGGGCCACCGAGGGTTCCCAGCTTCTGCAAGGAGGTTGAGCTTCGTCTCTTAGGAACCTGGAGGCTGGCACAGGGAATTATTTTGACTACACTATAGCCAAAGGCAAAGCAACCCTAGAGTCATTCCTGTGGAAGAGTGGAGAAGCTACCTCAGGCCTGAGGCCATCTGGAAATCCCCCCACCATCCCCACCAGCCAACAAAGAAATAAATTTGGTGGTGATATTTTTATATTCTAAAGGCCGCGCTCTAGGTTACCTGAAATAACTGTCTCCCCTTAGCCCTGAACATACATTGAATCCCAAATCCACCCTTTAATATATGTGTTTTATGACTGATGACTTGCCCTCTCTATTAAACATCTGTTTGTTCAACTTCTCAATTGTTTACTGGGAAATGTTCAAATGAGAGAAAAGTTGAAAGGCTAGAGAGAAAGATCTATCTTTTATCTAGATTTACCAAGCGTTAATATTTTGCCACTTGTTTTCTTTTTCTCTCTTTGTGTAATACATATGTGTGTGTACATATCTAAACACTTTCTTTTTGCAAAGACATTTGAAAGTCAGAGAAACCGTGACACTTCATCCCAAATACTGAAGAGCTAGGATATTCCTCCTAGATCCACAAGGTTATCATCACACCTAAGAAATTTCACAATGATGCAGTACTACTAGCTAAGTTACAGAAGATACTTAAATTTCCCTGATTCTTCCTAAATCTTTTATGGCTTAAAAGATACAAGATACCCCTAGTATCTATCTAATCATGTCTCTTCAGATTCCTTTAAGCTAGAACAGTTTCCCTGCCTTGGGTTATTGTGGGGGGTTTTTTTTGTTGTTATTGTTAGCTTGTTTTTGATGATACTGGCATTTCTGAGCAGTCCAGGCAAGTTGCCTTATAAAATGTCTTGCAATACGGATTTCTCCAATTTGATTCAAAATAGATATTTTGGGGCAAAAATATACTGTAAGGTGATGCCATATCTTCCCCTGGCCCCCCATCACGTCAGGAGGCATGCCCGGTCTGTTTGTCCCATTGGTGGTGATGCTAAGTTGGATCACTTATTTGAGGTGTGTGCTGTACATTTTGATGCTTGGCTTCATTTAACTAAGCACTGTATAGCTCTTATTGACAAACTCAACTGATTATAAAGTGCTTATGGGTAAGAACCGAGTCTACTCCTTTGGAAAATAATGCTTTAGAGTTTACAAGACTTTTTGATATAGAATATGTCATTTTCTCTTCAGACATCCCAAGGGAGATATTTTTATTCCCATTTTACAGGGATGCAAAATCCCATAGTGCTTAGGAATTTAATATCAGGTCCGCCCCTTATTAATGCCTTTTAGGGCATGTTACTTAACCTCTTGCTTAAATTTCTGTTTGCTCAACTATAAAAGTTATCTCTTTCTCCCAGAGTTGTTGTGAGTACTCAATATAGGCATGGAAAATAAAACGCCTGACTTATGCGGTTAACACATAAAGAACACTTTAAAAATGAAAGTGTTGAATGTATAGAGAGAACCACATGATACACACACTTCTATATAAACCTGCTCAAGAAAGTGAGGGTCTGCGGCAATTCCACTCCTAGGGATCTACCCAAAGAACACAAAAACATTGATTCAAAAGAGCACCTGTACACCTATGTTCATTGCAGCACTATTACAATAGGTAAAACCTGGAAACAAGCCAAATGCCCAAAAACAGATGACATGATCAGGAAGATGTGGCATATATACACAATGGAATATTATTCAGCCATCAAAAAAGATAAACTCATGCCATTCGCAACAACGTGGATGGAATTAGAAGGAATTATGCTCAGTGAAATAAGTCAGAAGGAAAAAGAAAAAAATCAGATGGTTTCACTTATAGCAGGAATATTGGGGAACCCAATAAGACATCAGTGTAAAAAATAGTAACAGTTCAAAACACAACAAAGTAAAAAATGGACAATTATAAATCAGAGACATCCTGCAGGGGAGGAGTAGGGAGAGGGATCAGAGGGAGGGAGGGAGGAGCACAGGGGACTGAGGTGATGGTGCACGGGTGCATTGGGGAAGGAAACTCTATGGGGACGACACCTGAGGGGGTGGGGGGAAGCAAATATTGTTTAAAAATGAACAATGATGTAAAAACAAAAAAAATTAAAAAAAAAAAGAAAGTGAGGGTCTGGACTTTGGTCAGAGACTGGATTCAAGACACACCTGCCTGTCTCCGAATCCTGCCTGAATCTACCAGCAATGGCTAGCCAGTGTCCTTGTGGTAACCCTTTAATCAAAAGCACTTGAACAGTGTGTATACAAGTTAGACATAAATGTAAACATCTTTCCTCACCTAATTTAAAAATGCATGAAGCGAGGCCCTACTGCTCTGATTATACAGGGTTGCCCCACACCAATGGCCTTTCTGCCCAGTTCCCTGCCCTTGTGCCTCTTGAAGCTGGTTGCTGCATCTCCCAACATCCCAAACTCACCACACTGACACTGTGTGCCCAGAGGCAGCACACTGTGGCTGGACAACACTGCATGTTTGACCTAAAATGTTCCCCTGCCCTGTCTCTGCAAGGTGATGCATCTGGAGTAGGGACAAGACTAGTGAGTGGTCCTTGGTTCAAGTGGGGAAGTTTTAGGAGTCCAGGTCAGGCAGAGGTCCCTGAAAGACCCCCATCATTGTTTTTGGAAATCCCCATGCCCCACCCCGACTCTGCAGGGGGTTATCCACAGCAGCAATCCATCATTTTGAGTCACACGCCTTTATGCTATATGAACTTGGATGGGTTCCGTTGAAAATTAATCCACCCAACTGGGATTGTGAAGTATGGGTCTGCCTGTCTGGGGCCCAGGGAAGGCAAAGGTCCCTTTCTTCCAAGG